AATCGTAATGTGCTCCGATCAAATATGTATTCTGTAGTGCTGAGGAAAAATGCACCAGGACCATACTCGTGCTGACGAAGGAAATGGACACCTTTAAAGAAGATGCTCCGATGGTTGTCTACTTCTCTGGAACGACATTCTCATGAGCAAACTCCTCGCTGCTGGTTTCGCTGCCGACTTCCTTAATTGGACCAGTAAATTTCTTGCGAGCTCGGAGGATATAGTTGACGGTAGCACAAATCATGACGAATCCGAACACAGGGGAAGCGTAGTTCATGTTCTGTCCAGTGACGGGCAGGAAAGGCGGAAATGGCAAGAAAATGATGAGGAAAATGCAGAATGTGACTGCAAGAACGTTGACGGGTAGGCCGAATTTGCCCATAGTCCAAGGACCAAAATTAATGGGGTTGGAGGGATTGTATCGTCGGATTGCGAACATGACGGTCGGGATCGCATAGGAGAAGTAAAAGCCCAGTGTTGTTAGGGAGATCAGGGCATTGAAAGCAGTGGTTGACCCAATGTTGATGAGAGAGAGGAGGGAGGCAGAGGCGAATATCGAGAGAACAGCGTTCGTAGGACATTTGTTCCAAGGGGTAATATGCGAGAAGAAGCTGGAGAACGGAAGACCATGGTCTCTTGCAAAAGCCCAGATAAGGCGCGAGACAGATGCTGTGCACCCAAAGAGGTTCATTGTGAAAACAATGATAACACCAGTCATCATCGCCGTTGCCGCTTTCTGGTTGTCGGTGGCTTGCAGGAAAACAGCAATTATGGGGTAACCAGTAGGCGTCGCAAAAACCGCATCCGTATCGGTGATGGCGTAGAGAATCGTGATGATATATGCAAAGCCAGCCAATCCATTGATTGTGACTGACCAAATCATCGCACGAGGAATATTGAGAGGAGCGTTGTACGCTTCCTCGCTCATGTGGACGACCGCGTCTACCCCGGCGAGCGCAAAAGCCGGGGTGAGGAATCCAATGCAAAAGCTGACACCGTCACTGCTCCAACCGCCGGCATTGATAAAGGTACCCCAAACATCCTTGTCGCTGGCCTTTGTGCTAGTGGCTAGAATGGCGATAAAAACGATGAAGAAGAATAACACATGAAGAAACCCTCCCAAGGTCTCCCACAGCGGCAGAAATTTCTTGCCATAGGTGTTTCCCAGTGCGGCGACCCCGGCGAATCCAATCATCATGAGTGTTGCGTGCCACCTCTTCGCTTCGTAGCCGGAATAGTTGAGGATCGCTACCCCCTGAATCATGGTTGCGATCAAGTAGCATACAGACGCCACAGCTGCGACCCAGCCGGTGATGGTGACCCAGCCTTGAACGTAGCTGATGATGGCACGCCATTTGACTGGTGAATGCTCAGCACTCCAATGATACTGGGCTCCAGCAATTGGCGAACTAGGTCGGCAATCAGCCAGTCTTTCTTTCTTTCTCAACGGACAATCCAAACACATACATAGATGCCATCTCAGCGAAAGAACCTGCGATGCACAAGGTTCCCAGAACGGACACGATGAATCCGTAGACGACAGAAGCAGGCCCGCCGTTGCTATAAGCACCAGCGAATAGAGCACTCGTGGCTTCCCACGTACATAGAGTGCATGCCGACATACCCAACAATGCCCAAAAATTCCATTCCCTCTGTAGCAACAGGTCAGCGGTGTGCACCAATGGAGACTTTGTGGTGTTTCTCCCACCTTCAGCACCTGCTTCTTCCCTGCTGCCTCCAAAGCAGCAGCATCTGAGATGAAGGCCGTCATTTGGGCGATAACACAACGCTATGAAGTGGAAAGACGTGCAGAACCCAAGTGACAGCAGGCACAGCGTGCAAGAACGGGCTGCACAGATTGAGGCATATGAGAAGCCATAGGTGCGCGGGAGCCACCGTACTTAAAAGCTTGCTTGTTCTCGTAATGGGAGCATGCTCTGGCACTGCACTCGTAGCGAGAGCACTATTGTTTTCTCACCCCAGCTTAGCGAAGCAGACGCGAGAGATGTGAAAGAGCCAGGGCATGAGGTTAGCCTATTTCCCTTCGAATCTCGCCCTCGCTGACATGCCGCACATGTGTGACTATGAAGGGGTTCACGCTCGGGGGACCCATGTCCTGAATGAGGTTCCCCACAGAGTTCGGAGTAATAGACAAGTCAGGCAGCTTGGTCTGCTCCCGCAAATTCTGTCCGACAAGTTGAACTCGAGATTATTCGGCGTTGAATGACATGCTTTGTCACGGCAGACCTATACAAGTTGTAGCGTAAGCTGACACGAGTGGATTCAGACTGACCATGGAATGACATTATCACAGGTCTCATGGAAGGTGTGACGCCTCCGCCAATAGCAAGCACAACTTGAGGCGCGATCTTCATGGTGCGTTGCACACGGAGGTGGTGGTCCCTGCTGTGAAAATCGCTACAATCATTCGCAGCGGCCCATGTTGGGGAACGACTATCCGGGCCCTTCAAGCCTCTTGCTGGTGGCCCTACTCGTGTTAGTTGTTAGAGCTTATCTTGAGGAAAGTGATCGCCTTCGATAAGCTTTCCTCAATGTTGTTAGGTGGTCAAGTAGTACAGCACTGTCAAGGAGTGTAGAATGCGAACATCAGGGACACGGTGGAGACAACTTACCCTCCCAAGTTTGACTTGAGTGAGGAACAGAGACTTCAGCATTGCCGATGGCGCACAAGTATCTTGGTGTGAAGACATGCATATTTTAGTCGACAGTCAGTAGCGTTGGTTGCTTTATCCAGGAACCAGGGTATAAACTCCAAGGTGGGAGGAAAACGCATCAACTTCTGAACCCGGCGACCAAGCTCACTAAGCATTCAAAGCTAAGAGAGTGCATACGGCGGACCTGCTGGGACCCAGCAACCTTGACAGGAAGGATGTCTGTTGGTGCTGCTTGAGTACTCGGTACCTCGTACCACGTAGCATTTTGCTGTTGCGCATTTCCAGCGAAGTGTACCCACTAGACGCTCAAACGGAAATCCCTCCCTTGTTCTGTCCGGGAGTTTTCCCACCACCATCGATTTTCTAGACTCGAGACACTCCCCGTCCCCTGCTCCGAGCCCAAAAAAGCCCACCGGAGTCGAGGTTTCAAAAGGGTACTCAGTATATATGGATGAGAAACAATATTACCCTGAAACAAAAGAGTCAACGTGAGATGACCAGGGGTTCATCACATTGCCACGAGATTTGTTATGATTGTGTGAATGAGACTAGCCACTGGCTAAAGAGTCCAATCACAAAATCGTAGGGCGATGGCCATCTGTGGACGCTAAGGCATGTCGATCTTTTGGACTTTTGGTAGGTGGCGCTATTCCGGGGCTGCACGTACCAGTCGTCCTTGCAACGGCTTGGATGTCAAGAAAAGGAAGAGAGCGGACTGTGAAGAAACGAATACATTGCCATCCCGAGTCTGTGACTGGGATTTATGTAGATAGGCACATACGTAAGGTTCGAAGCATGCGCTTCATGGGCAGAGAGTGACGGAGCGGAAAAATCATCACTCCGAATGCGGCGAAAATCACCGCCCTCGCCGCCCTCACCGCCTTTACTTTTTGATCCGGCAGAATGTCCCGAAATTTTGTGGCTGCAGATGTAATAACCTCAAGACTCGAAATGAAAGCCTTGCCCGCAACGATAGGTACGAGGTACTTGTCGCCGCCCAATTCCTCCCGTAGAGGACTTCAATATGGCGGTGCCTATCGATGATCTCACTGCAATTTTCAAGGACCTTGGAGCTCTAGAGCGGGAATTTGCCGAGGTCGAGCTCGATGCCTGTGAGATGATATATCATTCCAGGCCACCACACACGCTGATTCTGCTACAGTGCGAAGAAAAGAATATTCCTTACGAACCCTGTACATCAAAAGGGAAGCGCTATTTAAGAAGATCCCAAACTTCTGGCCAACCGTGTTTGGCTTCGGACCTGAAGACATCCGACGATTCTTCGCTCCAGACGACCTTCCTCTACTTGCTTCTATCGAGTCCGTGTCCGTCGACCGGTACCAGATCCAGTCGGAAACCGAAGGCGAACCTCGCAGCATTCGATTTATCTTTCACTTTGCCCCCAATGAATTCATGGAGAATACGACTCTTATCAAGGAGTTTGAATTTCATCCCTCTGAAGATGGACCGGGTAACCTAATCTCGACGCCGGTTCCGATTAAATGGAAGGGGAAGAAGAAGGACCCAACACGCGGTCTCCTCGATGCCGCCGTTCAACTGTACAATGCAGAAGAAGCGCTGAAGCTCAAGCAAGGTGACAAGGTCGTTGATATCGTGGATCGAGAGGCGCTGTGGCAATATGAGAAACTCCGAGAAACGCTAGTTCAGTTTGAGGAAGATGAAGGCGACATTCACCAACCAAGCTTCTTTTCTTGGTTCGGCTTCAGGGGCGCGGTCAACGCTGCGAATGTCAAAAAACCAACCGAGACAGAGACTGAGTCCCAGGATGAGGAGGATGACGCCAACGAGGACGAGCTCGAAGAGCTACTGGACGTCGAGATTTTCCCTGCTGGGGACGAAGTAGCTACCGCTTTGGTAGAGGACCTCTGGCCAAATGCCATGGACTATTTCCTGTCGGCTAACAGCCAAGATGACGAGTCTGACGATGACGATGATGAGGATGAAGATGACGACGAAGCTCCGCAGTTGGTGTTGGCAGAGGAAGATGACGACAGGCCGCGCAAGAGGGCGCGTAGGGGTTGAAATGTCGAGCCCGCTCGTTCTCGTTGTGGTGGAGATATCGCCGTCCATAGAAGGAGCTTGTCAGAGGCTTCTGCTTTCCCTGGGGGTGTTCACGGACGGACCCAGAATCTTGCCTGGAGAGCCATCTGCTCCGTCGGGTTGTGTTCAGGCGTTCAGGATTTCCTGCATCCCTTCATCTTCCATGCTCCCCCGACGAGCATCGACCAGATGACCCTTAGGTGTGCTGGTTGGTTCCAGAGATAATCCAACCACAAAAATCAAAATGGCACGATCCTTTTGGCTTTAAATGACAATTACTAGAATCAATAATATCACCAAGACCACAATCAGCACCCCAATGCAGCAACTGCTCACACTGTCTTCGTTCCGTCTGATCACTTCGCCCACCTTCTTCACCCCGACACTCAGCTTGCCACCTACCCGGTCGGCGAGGGTGTCCACCTCGTCCAGCAAGGCGCCTTGTTCCTCTAATTCACGGCCCATGTCTTCAGCCTGGCCCCTCAAGACGCCGACGCTCTGGAAAACGCCGTCGAGCTGTTCGTCTTGTTCTCGCATCATCATCTCTTGCTGCTGAGCCTCAAAGGCGCCATAGGGATCATCGTCATCTTCATCGTCGTGATCGTCTTCGAAGGATGAGGGATTGGGTAGTCTCCCATTCGGTCCTCTTGTGCCGCCAGCGCCGGGGCCGGTCGTGGTGGACGCCGAGTATGCTCCTCCAGCGACATGTGTATCTGTAGTGACGTCTTCCAACTCCCTCCTCATCCCGTCCACCTCGTCGCCCACATCCTTGACAAACTGCCTCCTCCGCTGCACCTCCGCGACATCTAGGCCGAAGCGGTACGGATCCGACTCGACGGCTTTTACGCTGTCCAGCAGATCCGCGAGGTCTGCCGTTAACGTCTCGAGGTTCGTCCGTAGCTCTGAGCGTGACTGCTGCAATTCCGGGGAGGTGGCGGACGTAGACAGCGTGCGGATACGGAGGTAGCTGGAGAACAAGTGCCGTGTACTTTGGAGTGTGGATTGCACGTCGGTTTGCACTTCGAGGAAAGGGTCGGAGGACGGAGGGTTCGCCATTGCGACAAGCAGGCGTGCGAGTCCAGGATCAGGGAGGGAGGGCGCAGACTTCACGGATTCGAGGGTTTTACTGTCTGCTCATTATGAGAAGTAAACAACTTAGCGAGAGTCGTGCTCGCTGACGTTGCGACACCGTTGTACCTAAGTTCCCTGGAATGACATTATTATTGGTGGAAACTATCTTTGGAGGTGGTCCGCCGCGACAGCGTATGACTTCCCCTGCCGCAATCCAACGTCTTTCTTTGATCGCATACCCACGAGACATCAAATGGGATCAGAATCAGAATCAGGCTATACATTGTCCTATTGGTATACAATATTGTACATGTCCTGATAGTTCCGAATAAATGGTACAGCATGAAAGCAGCGCCGCTTTGCGAGGGCCTTCATCGTGGATACAACTCTATACTGACAGCATTGTAGCACTCTTGCCAGAGGCTGCTCATTCCTGCAACTGATCATACATGGTCAAACTTCTTCTCGGCTTATCGCCCACTTTTTCACGCAGGCTTTCCACCGTCCTCTCCACAACCGTTGTCAAGTTACTCAGCTCAGCCTGCAACTGATTTCCCAACTCCGCATTCTTGACAGATTCAATCTTCAGTGCCCATTCCATCGAGTTTTGGATCGGCAATAGTTCCACCAGAGCGAAGTTCTGCTCTATTTCTGTCAATTGGTCGAGCTGGGTAAGCCGATCTTTGCTGTCCAGGTGAAGCAGCTTGGTGGCGTAGTTGGCGACTTTCCCCTCCTGATCCTGGCCAGCATAGGTATGCACTGCCCTTGCAGCAGCCAGCTCCAGTAACACCGCCAGGACAACCGGATCTTTCCTGGCATCCACTTCGCCCTTTGACAGTTTGCCGCCACCATGCACTTCGTCTTCAAGCATCCGAGCAACATATTCAGCTCGCCGCGAAGCTGCCTCAAGTTCACCGCCCTTGAAATTTGCCAAAACCACGCGATTGTGGAACCCTAGCATCAACTCCCTCGCCACGCCCTTACGTGACAGCTTGACGCCCGTTTCGGCCGGTTTCTCCGCACAGCGTAGAATGATCCGTTCTTTGCCCACTTCACAGGCTTTGCGTGTTACTTTCTCGTAGAAACTAGAGGGAAGATTGATTTTTGCCATGACTAAACCGTGAAGGAACGGAGGGAGGTTGTTCCAATCTTTATCGTTGTGATTTCCTTCAAGAAGTTTTACTAATTTGACGATACTGCTGTGAACATTTGGCTTGTCAAAATAATGCATCGGTTCCAGCTTGATCTCTTCTTCATCGTCCATTGTTACCGTGACCCCGGGTTCGTTGATGAGGGTCGAATGCCGCGAGGCCTTGTAAATGAGATCCCGGTGGTGATTTTCCAGCGCCGCTGGCATAAAGACTTTTTGGCGCCATGTCAGGAGGAAGTCGTCGAACTCGGGATTGGATGTGGGATTGAAAGCCGGTATTACTTTAGACTTGTAAGCACGGGTGTTTCAACATGGAAATATGGCATCAATGTCGGCATACCTTTAGGTCTCGAGCGCGTGGTGCTGAATGGCCGCGTCGACTGCGTCCAGCTCGAACTGTAAATATTGCGTCGACAACTTCGACAGACGTAGAGGAAGTTTTGACCGGCCTGCGCCATTGAGTTGATCACACCTTCTCGCAACGTGCCTAAGCTGAGCTACCCTGACTTTCTGAACGGATATGACTGTCCGTACCTGCGCAACGATCGAATCTCAGCAAAGGTGCTTTTCCGCAAGGACCAAAATTCAATTCGCTCCACCTTCCTTTTTCATCGTCAATGAAAAGTGACTGCGACTGAGCTCCGACATCTTTGTGGAAATGAGGTTGCTGAACATTGCACTTTCATAATCTGCCAGCCAACATGTCGAAAAGTGTTGCCTCCCGCATATCTATATGCTGTTGGCGATCTCTGTTTCCAGAGCTTCGACCACAGCATTTCCGCCGGACACTAGTCACGCTACAACGCGGCCCAGTTGAGAAGCGCGAAGTCCCGTCCGATCTCCCGTCACAGTACTGGTCTCAAATACCGGAAAGATTCAGACCTGATAGAGGTGGATATTTCCAAGCATTTAGTTGATCGACCAGGGATGCTGACAGGTTTCTTAGGGAAACGAGAGATAGTTATACATCAAGCACCCCGATCCGAGACCGAAACCTGCAAAGATCCAGTCTCTGTTGTGGACAGCCGACAATTGACTCTGTTGGATCCTACGGGGGCTCGGGCGAAACTGTTCGACAAAACCAACAAGGATCGAGCCAAGGTTGGCGATATTCTGCTCGCAACCTTCACCTCAGGCGAACCAGTCTCGGGCGTGATTCTCTCTATCAAAGGCTCGGGGCCTCACACGTCAGTCCTACTGCGCAACCACTTGACAGGAATAGGAATGGAAATGCAAATAAAGGTGCATAGCCCATTGGTACAGAGCATGGAAATAGCCCAGAGAGCGCCGAAGAGAAAGAGGCGGGCGAGAATATACTACTTAAGGAAACCAGAGCACGACATAGGAAGCGTGCAGAAAGTGGTCGACCAGTATCTGAGGCAACGAGCCATGTTGACTGGTGGAAGACCATCAAGCCAACTGGGACGGTCGAGAATGAAGAAAGGGAAGAGATGATCTGTGACTTTGGAGCCTGATTGGAATTTGTGTATTGGATGAGGATGATGCGGTAACACGCTTCTGCTGTGCCTCAGATTGGCTTCAAACTTGTAAGAAAACCGTGAATGTGATATTTTCTCCTGCAGAAATTGACTTGATGAGATTGTACCACACGGCTTGGGCTCAGGCACATGCAGCAACGGTTATTTCCTACCTTATGCGCAGCTCAGTTTTCTCTCACTTGTTGCTGAAATCGCCTACTACAATTCACCTTGGGTTGTCACTCAGTCTTCCAGGCAACCGGCAGTGATATCTCGTCTTCACTGTGACTCCGGACGCCTCCATAAATACCTCTTCAACACCCTCTCGATTGCTCCAACTCTTCCCTTTCTCCTCTTCTCTTTCCACACTGCCTTTTCCTCTTCCCTTGCCATTCGGTCTACAACGGCACTACAGCATGAAACGTCCTGCCACAACAGCCATGTCGACTCTTCTTACTCCCACATCTGACGCTACGTCTACGACATCTCATGACAAACTCCTTGAGCGCCTTGGGAGTTTGGAGGTGAACGCGGACCAGACTATGAACCAAACAACCTCCAATATTCTCAGACAAGTCCTTGACCTCATCAAAACCGACGAGACACTCAGACGGGACTTGAATGTTGCCTTTGCCCGTAACGAGTCTGATGAATCTTCCCATGGTGTTGGCAACTCCAGTGGTTCAGATCCTCCAAGTGAGTTTGATCCCCCAGCAGCTTCAAGTTGCTCTGATATTTCGATGCTGATTTACATAGTGGTTCCTATCGACCCGTCTTCCGAAGCAGCCGAGACTCCTGTGAAGATTGAAGCAGCTGATGGGGTCGCATTTGAGGACCGCGATGAACGAGCCTCAGTTACTGACTCAAGGTAAGTCACAAGATGACGGGAAAGGTAACTGGGAAATCAATAGACTAATTGATACTCTGGTAGTCGGGTCTCCAATCGATTCACTCTCCGTCCTATCCGTGTCATGGTCAACAACACCGAGTACTTTGTGCACGAGGATATTTTCAAAGCCCTGTTCCCATACCAAGATCTCCCAGAACGCGACGGTGTCTTCGATCTACCAGACATTTACAATGAGCCATTCGTCGCAGCACTTGAGTTCGAATACAGTGGAAACAATGATGCCCTTTATCAATATCTCATGGCGGACGATCTCGAGAGCCTTTGTGAATTTGCAGAGGATTATGGGAATATGCCTCTGATTGCCGCAATCTTGCAGGTCCGCGGAGACGAGCTCTTCAATCACGGTACTCTGGAGTGGGTTTCCAAAATCTACGGCTTCTTTGTCGAAGTCCCAGCATTCAGAGATCACTTCCGAGGTTGCTTGAGAACGGAGCTCTTGAGACGACACGGTCATGGTTCGTCCCACTCTCTCGTCACCTCGGTCGTAAAGACACTGTCTGGTGTCGACACCGCCATGGAAGATGTGTCTATGGTGCTTCACGACCTGTGGGATTCAAGCACGAAAACAGCGCATTCCTTGCAAGCCCAACTCGACGCTCAAGATGATGTTGAGAGCAACTCGGACAACAACAATGACAATGGCTGGAGAGATGCTGCGCACAATGGTGGTTGGGTCTGTAACGACCAAAATGATCATCAGGCTGTCAACCAGGGAAACAATGACAATACGGACACGGGTGTCAAGTTATTTGACCGTTGGCCCATCGTCTCTGCAGCAGACCCTCTTCCACAAACAGATCGACCCAATACGACCAGCACATGGGATATGCACCCTCCTTCACCCACGCAACCTCCCCCAGCAAATCCTGACCCGCCTCACCAATGCTTCTGGGAGCATGCGACCTCGCGTCACCTCACCACGCCGGCGTTTTTGCCTGAGCCGCCTCCAGCTACTTCCAGCTCTGACGCAGTGACCGCCGACCATGCGACCCGTTTGCAGAAAACCTCCGCTCTCGCGCGTTGCATCAACCACTGGGTCAACCAGCAAGTGCATGGTTTGTGGTTCGAGGCTGCGGCTGTCGCTGACGGAGTCGGGTGCACCGTGGCAGAGGCAGGAGCTGCCCTCAGAGAACTCCTTGATATCACCGTGTGCATGGATGGCTTTGGCCTTGGGGATATTCGCTACCAATCTCTTTCAGCCAAGCCGAAAGCAGTCCCATTCAGCACCACGTTCGTCGGGCGTTGGACGAACTAGGAATTTGACGTCGACCTCGCTGGTTATGTGGTCCATTGTTTTCGTGGATCAAGCACATCTCGACGTTCGTCTCAATGAGGCTCATCTGGAGCGAAAGGCCATCTTATCCTCCCAAACACCATTCTCGTGGCGCTTTTCTCGACGATACACACCACACACGGAGTCACGAGTAGATTGCAAGCGGCACATTTCCGCCCAAAACAAACAAACCCGCCAAAAAAAATGAGAGAAAAAAGGCTTCAAATCTCACAAAGAAAAAGTCCCGGAGAGAAACAGAGAAACGAATCGAGCACATTTCCTTTTTCTTTTTCCCCCCCCTTCCCCTTTCCCCTTCTTTTCGACAGCTCGAAAGCTCTAGCAAGGTCAAAAGGGCCAAAAGCAGCGAGGTACCAGATATCTGCTCAGAGGATGGAAGCCGCCTTGGAGCTGGGGGAGCGCGAATCCGAATCCAAACTCGAAACGAAAAAACGGAGAACGAGAGACACAGGATTCTGGATCGGGATATGATCTGGACCCGGAGCTGGAGCAGATGAGCGACAGTGGCTAGATAGATGATGAGAAAATAGATCCGTGAGCTTTGAAAAGTCGACCTTGAGCTTGAGCCTGAGCATGACCTTGCTGTGAAAGTGGGCGGACTGAATGTAAAAGCGATTCAAGTTTCACAGGGCACGTGCAACTTCTCTGTTCTTCTGTTGTCCGATCGTGATCGTATCCATTTCATTTCATCTCATTTCATTTCGCACTAGCAATCATTATCTGGCCGTTTTTACTTTTCGACATGTGTAATTTCGTATCTGCTGAACGATAGTATCTCTCCAAGGTCGGATCAGGTCCGTTTACAGCTCCGCACAACTCAGCTCACTTCAGCCCAGCGAATGCACCCCCCTCCTTGACGATCTTGACACCATGTAGCGATAGTGGTTGAATCCATGTAACCCAACGTATTTGTTGAATGGGTTTCCTTGACGTGGGAGGACTCCTGGTTGATAGATGTCGTTCCTGGGCGTGACAGAGGAATGGTAGCGGGTCTGGCCTGGCTCAGAGCAGAAGCAGTGTATAATCCTCGTCGACTTGCACATGGGTGTTCTCGAGTGTTACCTTCCCACCGACCACCGCAGGTCCTTTGATCGTTACCTGTATTGTTATAAGTCAAGTGGTCAGTAAAGGAAGCTTCAGAGATGATATGAAAAGAGAGAACATAATATATTGCAGACAAGGAAGGGGTTTAGCATAGGGAACGCAGTGTGCAGTAAACAAGGGAAATAGGCCCCTCTCGGACATACGGTTGCTCCACGCGGAGTTCGCGATCCCATAACTGGCTCTTCTCCAGTTAAATTGACCTCCACGCTACTCAGCGGAGCGCCGACGCAACACACTTTATCGCCCTTGTCGCGATAGTCGAAGATGTTGGTCTGTGCAATCGCTCCTGCGACGAATGGACTCGTGAGGGCGTACCCGATTCGACATTTCAAGTGCGTGCGAATACTGTGCAGTGCCGACGACGACAAACGAGTTGATGCCGCTGCGGTGATTGATTGCGGGATCAGAAGAACGCGGAGATGCGAGAGGGAATCGGAGGTAGAAGTCTGCTTTGTGGGTAGATTCCCCTGCTGCAAAGTGCGTGTACTCATGAACTTCGACAATCCGCCCGGAAGGGTTGTGCTCGGGTGAGACAAGTATGCTTGCACGGTCGGTGGGGAGGCGAGCACAACTGTCGGAGAAGTCTGCGAGGTGGCATGAGTGAGGTCGATTTTATCCCCAGAAACGGAGTTGAGAGACAATGTCGCATTCGAGTAAAGGGCGGCAAAGACCCAGCAAAGGGTGTAGCTGTCAGTTAGAGGTGTGGTAGGGAGCAACGAGTCGCTGGGACCGAGCTTTTGAGCGCGTGGCAGTGTGGCGAGAAGGCCAGCGGTGCCAGAGATGAGGTTCTAAAGGACGTCTTGATTAGTACCTAGAGGTTCAGCTGGCAGATGAGGCGTGGTTCAAGAGTGCAGAAGGCCACGATAAGACACATGAGGGGAGCTCACCTCGGAGGTATACTTGATCAAGTCAAACCCCCCACTGGCTGTCGGACAGAAGACTGACACAGGCGGCACCTGAGAATCTTTGTCCAGCGGCAAAACCTCCGAGTTGGAGGGTCGCTGGTTCTTCTGCACAAGTTCCTGCCACGAGCTGACCGCAAAGCCTTCGGGGGAACCTTCTGTCCATTCCATGTGCTTGTTGACTGCTCGGGTAACCCAGATGATGTTCTTGATGCTTTTGGCGGCGGCAGACAGGGATTCAAGGTCCAATGTCCCGGCTTCAGCGATCAAGTGGTCGGCTGACACCTTGGAGAGAAGCGAGTTGAGTTTGTCAGGCGGAAGTCCATATGGGAGAAGGATTGTCGAGAAGCCATAGAAAGAACCAGCTGTTGGTGGACGGTAAGAAACTCGACAAAGAACCTAAAGGACTTGCAGGAATTATCCAACATACCAAAAATAGAAGATAGTAATTCGACCGAGTTGGAGAGGCAGACTGCCACAGACTGGCCGTTGTTCCGCTTCACGTATTGACCGATGACATTGATTCCCAGCGTCAGATCCTCGAGATTATGGTCGATGACCTTTTCCAGGCCAAGGAGCGTCACAACTTTGCCTCTCTGGCCCGTTGGATTGCCCTCTTCATTGACCGCGCCACGGACTGCCGCCCTCCAGATGTCCCGCAGATCTCCAGGTCGGCCGGAACTCCACTTTGGGGTCCCTGGATCTTTGACGCCCAGCCCAGCACGGAGAGGATATCCATGGGGAATGTCGATGGCGCGGTAGACGGCCGACTCACCTGATTGGCGAATGG